GGGGGGGGGGGGGGGGGAAGAAGGGTGAGGGATCATCTTTTTTTTCTTCCGAGATTGTGCCTGAGCGGACTCACGACCAACCGTAGAGATGCTCGCTGGCACGCCTGTCATCCACGTTGCGCCCCCCCTCGCCCTAAAGACTCCAGACTCACACTGCTGCTGCACGCTGTGGACGAACAGCAGTATGAGTGCTGCAGCACTCGATTCGCTGCCCACAGTAGCCGACTATCCTTTCGTAATTTGCACCGCGGCACAATCTCATCGAGCGGCAACTGAAAGGGCGCCGTCGAATGAACATCAAGAGATCGAGCAAGCGACCGAGCGACCTTTTTTCTTTTTTTTTTTTTTTTCTCTCTTTTTCTTTGGCATATTAATGGGAGTACAACGAGTTGGCATATGCAGCCAGCCAGCTTTAAGATAACAAGAGAAAGCGACGACGAAGAGGAACAAAGATGGAGGCAAAAGGGAAGGAGGAAGGAGGAGGGTCAGAAATGAACAAAAGAGGGGGGAAAAAATGGTGGGATAATAGCGACAATGTGAAAGAGTTGGGTGAAGGTGTGAATGTGCTTGAGGATTTGAAGTACGAGTGTTTTGAAGAGTGTCAAAGGGGAATCGAATGTGAAGTGTGAGAAGAGGCATCGAGAGGGGAACTTGGTGGAGTTATGAGCGTTGGAACTGTCGAGGGGTGTAGATGAAGTCTGAAGTGTTCTTGTGGCATGTAGCAGAAAGAAGATGGTGAGAGCAATCGTGTGAATGAAGATGGGAAAAGACGGGCTGCTGCACCAGGGACGAGAAGCGTGAAGGTAGAGCGTGCAGGTACAGGTGGGCGCGCTCAACTTGGTCCGTAGCCTCAACCTCCTGCAGAAGCATGTCACAGGAGTGGGGAGACGGAGAGAGGAATCGTGGACCCAAGGGACAGGCGATGTGAATGCGCCACATCTACTTGACGGCCCACGAGAGCGCTCTGCTGAGCATTCCCGCTGGTCTGCCTTCCCCATCGTTCTTGCTCTGCCCAGACGACGCTTCGGCTCCCGTTTCTCGCTTTCCGCCACGCGCACCAGCCGAAGAAGGTTTGTTCCTCGCCAAAGACAGTTTGCGCGAGAAGGAGGGCTTCTTCTTCATGGCAGGTGATGCCGTCGTGGAAGAAGGGGCGCTACTGTTGCTCCACAACACCGGTTCCCTTGGGATCGGAGGCGGAGGCGGAACGTGCGGCGCGGGGGCAGCTGCATTGCGTGACGATGCAGCAGAAACAGTCGATCGGCTCACGAGAAGCGCTTGACGTTGATCCTGACTGCTTTGCTGATCCCGTCGGGCTAGGCCTGTCGCGAGCGGTAAGGGAATCGATCTCGCCTGCTGAGACGTGGCCTTCGCTGCTCCTGAATTTGGCGAAGCAGGCGATCTAGGAACGCTCCCGCTTCTGCCGCGCACATGCGCCAAGGACGCTGTTCCTTCTCCTGCACTGCCACCACTAGGTCGTTTGCCATGTGCAGATTGACTTCGTTGCCTTTCGTGCCCCATGCCCATCGTTCTCCCTCTATCGATGGATGACTGATTACTCGAAGGATCTGCCGCACTTCCTTGCTCGTATCTCGCATGCTCACGACCGCCTCTTCCGTTGCCGTTCCCACCCGCGCTCCCACTCGTGCTCCGCGCCACTCCGGCCACCTCGCCTCTTGATCCCCAACCACCACCCCGCATCGCTTCCGCTTCAACATTTCCGCTTGCGCTCGGTCGCACCTCCTGGCGACCACTCGCGCCGCCGCTGCCGCTGCCCTTACCGCCAGCACTCCTCGAAGTAACAACACCCTCAGCTCTACTCCTTCCCTGCTCGCCTCCCATTAAAAATGCCTTCCATTACCAGCGGACTGAGGAGGTGGTGGGCCTCTTTGACCGTAGCCACCCGCTCCACCGCCTTGCTGTTGCTGTGGCGGTGGTCTTCCATACCCGCCGGCTTGAGGACCTGGACCGTAGCTTTGCGGTTGCTGCTGACCATGAGACATCGGCGCTCCTCTTCCTCCTCCTCCTCCACCCTGAGGATAGCCTTGCGGTGGTGGAGGTCTCTGAGCGTAATGTTGCTGCTGCTGTTGATGTTGGGCGTACCCTCTTGGGTCCGGAGGACCTCCTCCATGACCAGGTACGCTGTTGCTTCGTCCTCCTTGGTTCTGGAATGGAGCAGGCGCCGGGCCAGGTCGTTGAGATAGTGTAGGACCTGGTCTGCTTGAGGGAACAGCCCTTGCAGGCGCACCGCCTCCAGCTCCTCCACCCTGAGGTCTGGTCAGGCCCGACTTTTCAGCAGCCTTGATGATCTCTTCGTCCAGCACGTTGAGCGCAGCGCAAAGCACAATCCACTCGACCATATCCTCGTTGCCCTCTCCCAGAGTCTGCCAAACAGCCTTCTCCTCGGGGGACTTGCCAGTGATGCTGACTCGCGTACCACCACCACCGCTACTGCTGCTGCCGGACGCTGCATTCTTTTGAATCTTGCCAAATTCGATGCGCTTGGGTGGGATGAGATGACCGGCGTAGGTAAAGTAGAACAAGGTCCACCACGTAGCGTTGGGGTTGGGTTTGCTGATTTGAAACAAAGGCTGCTCGCTACCGGGCACATCTGGATTGGGTAGCGTCAGCTTGTAGACAGGAGCGTGGATACCTGTGTTGGTGATGGACCACTTGAGGTTCCTTGAAGCTTCGCAGCGCACTGATCGATCTCTATGAGGATCTGCTCCGTGACCTGGATCCGAGTGACCTGGACCTCCTGGACCCCGAGACCCGGGGGGAGGGACCATCTTGGCAACGCATAGGTCACCTTGAGGGGATCTGAGGGATGTGACCAGGCTGCGTAAGAAGGGGGGCTCGCAATGACTGAGCTGAACGCAAGAGGGCACACGCACGGGGTCAAGAGGTACGTCTCGCGGTTGAAGGAAGTGTGAATGTAAGAGTAGCTGAAGGAAGAAGCGGAGTGGACGGCTCTTCAGCATAGATCCGCAAGGACGGGTGCATACAGGCACATCATACTTACAGAGTGTGGTGAGGTTGACCGTAGGGTGTGACGATGAGCGTGGGCAGATGGTTAGGGATGGGAGCATGGTTGGGCGAAGTGTAGATCGAGTAGACGGCTGCATAAGGCGATCCTGATTCACGTCAGCTTGAGCAACCTCGCTTGGCGATGCAGGCCTCAAGACTCACCAGACATGGTGGGCGTAGCGGGAGAGGCAAGAGATTGCAATCAAGCTACGATGGAGCGATGCACTGCTGCGAGAATTAGCAAACGTCGCTCTGCTGAACCAGTCAAGGCAGAGACTGGCGGTGCAGGCGCGTCAAGGTCAAGTTTGACTGGATCAGATGGGGCGACGGGGCGGGTTTTGAGCTGGTGTGCTATCGTGATGATGCAGTCTAAGCTCCTTTCGCACCTGCGAGAGCTTGTGGGTCGTCGCGTCGTGTCGCAACGGGAAGATGAGGAGGTGTGAGGGTGAGAAAGGTTTAGCTGTGGACCAGGAAGCTTGTGGTGGTGGTGGTGGTGGTGGAGGATGTGCTTGTCTCGCGAACAAGCTACTGCTCTTCACCCTCCTCCGACGCCTCGTCTCGTCTCGTCCGTCTGCTCCTTGCCAACTCTTTGCCCCGCCCTGAACGCCGAACTGCTGTGGGTCGGTCGCCTCTTCTCCTTGCGTGCAGCTGATCAGACCGACGCGCAAGAGTGGGAAGTGGGGCAGTAAGAAGGGGGGAAAGAGACGCGGAGAGGAAGAGGGAGAAAATCGTGATTCGTAAAATCGTCTACTGGACAGATGCTGAATGAAAGACGAGGTGGAGCTTACTGCTTCGTGTCAAGTCGAGAAGGATGAGTGGGATGTGTAGCGTGTGTATGGAGATGCGACACAGATGGACGAGGCTTCAATTGAAGACAGCAGCCAGGCAGGCGAGATGCGTAAGAGGTGGGAGATCCTGTCGGGTCAATGAGAGTCACGACGAGTCGCTATGCAAGTGCATGGTGAGTGGATGGGCATGCAGCGCGCGCGCAGAGCAGCAGCAGGCGGAGACGAGAGGAGATGGCTGCATATACCGCCCACTCCTGTCAAAGGTACAACCAACCATCAGCAACCTCTCTGTAGACACTGATGAGAGCAATTAAGCCATGTAGGTTGCGCCTTGCCGTCCCATCACGCAGCGACAGGGGGGCAAGCGGGCAGGCGGTAAGCGGGCACAAGGTCAGTGGACGAGTCAAGGTGATCGATCATGCGCGTGCATCTAATGCATCTCGCTCTACTCTCGACTCAGACTGTATAGTCGTGCGCCGCGCGCCGTTCAGGAGGTGGTTCGTGTCTGCGCTTGCGCCCCGCGCTTCGCTTGGTCACCACGCGCCCGCGCACGCGCAGGCGGCAGCAGTCTGAGTAGCATTTGATATACAGTATACCTACTGTACATATTAATTATATGCTTGTGCAGCACGCGCGGCGTTGGGCTCAAGCCTACGCGCACGTTCGCGGTGTGCCTGCTGATGCTGCATGCGCATGCACGCATGGGTGGGGGTGCTGCATAGCATCTCGTGCAGTCAGTCAGTCAGTCAGTCAGTCAGTCAGTCAGTCCATCACCCGCATTCCACCCATGTCTACGCTCGTATATACTGCTCGTCCCGCGTACCTTTCCTGCCGTGGAAGCTGCTGGTCCACATGCAAGACGGTTCCTTCTTCGATCTGTCGCTTGAATTGCGAACATGCATGGCCGCTTGCAATGCATCGTGCTCTTCCATCTGAATCAGAGTGCAGAATGCGCGGATCTTGCCAGCGTCGCCTCAGAGCTTCATTAATTGCTGCTTTGAGCGCGCGGCTGTTGTCGCAACAGCGCGCACACGCGGCAGCCTGGATGGACATACACGATACATGCATTCACAATTGCGACTCCATCCTCGCACGACTGCATGGACCTCGTAGCATTCATGTATCCCATGATCATCCTCTTCACTGTGAATTGCCTCTTTACCTTCACATCCACCATGTAGGACTTGAGATCATGTCAACAAGTCACTCCTTCATCGCTTGACCGTCGCTTGCCGCGAGGTGAACGCAACCCATTTCTCCCGGCACCGCACGCATGAACAAGCAAGTAGGCGCGGCGCCACTCACACCTTACTGCGAATCAACCCCGCATTCACCCCAGCCGAGAGAAGCGCGCGCGCGCGCAGGGATGAACATGCGTTCAGTCAAGTCTTGGCATCTTGATTGATCTCTTTCCTAGCTGCTGTGCGCTCGTGATGCGGAAATGTCTGTCACCAGAAAGGGGAACCACGGCGATCTTATTAAGCCGAGCCAAGCATTCCTGCACGATGGGCATAGCAATCTCGAGTCTTGCGGTGCGAGCTACATAGCCAGACATTTGCACATCTCGCTCGAGATGCACTGGACTCGTCTTGACATTTTGGCAAGAGGATTGATCTGCATTCGAATTCAAGATTGTGACAGCATCAATACACAATTACGGGCAGCATTCCCGACTTTTTAGTAATCCTCCAAGAAAGATTCGTAAACTAGCTCGACCTTGACGTTCAGGCAGACCAGCTTCCAGACCGTCTGTGGGCATGCTTGCCTGGCTTGCCATCAGTAGGCAGCGGTCAAGTGAGCTGTGCGCACAGTATGCGCTCGATTGACCGATCTGGAGCGTTGTCCCAATCCATCGGGTCCCTTGACAAGCAGTGTGAGCGGAGGTTCTTTCCTTTTCTCCCTCAGTTCAGCAACATTTCCAACAGATGCAGCTCTGGTCCTTCGACTTTGCGCCGTCGATGTGGGACGAAAAGTTAGACGCGTAGGATCGGATCTGATCCCTTGCGAGGCACGATCCTTGTTCTTCAAGGTGATTGTCTCGCTCTGACTCTTTGTTTTGCTGACCTCGTCGTCTGAGGAAGAAGGACTAGTCCAACCATTGTGCACCTGCTTTTGCTTCTGCATGTTCCCACGGCGATGTTGTGCACCGCTAGCGAATTTGAAATTCCACCTGCTCACGTCCGGCTGGGGATGTCGTGGACTCTGATCACTCGAAGAGGCAGAATTGGACTTGTGTTTGAAGTTGAAAAAGTTGGACTTTGCTTCGGACGGACTGACAGATGGCGAAGGCGAGGGAGACCGATGACTTGCGGATGGAGTGATTGGGATATGAACGTCCTTGTCCAGCTCTGGAAACCTTTCCTCGCCAGTCATCGTCTTTTTGCACTTGCTAGAATCTGAGCAGCCGTTCGATCTCGCCCCCTTGGACGAATTCTTGCTCGCCCCGAGAACCTTCTTCACTCGCCTATACGTCTGCGAAAAGGCCTTGTATACCTTTTGTGTCAAGCCAGTCTTGCTTGGGGCCTCCACAGCTGGCTTCATCTCGAAAGCCGAGACGCCTGGCTTAGGAGCACGACCTGCTTGTTGATGAAGAGCTGCAGAGGTGGCGCCTGACGAGAGCTGTCGACTCAATCGCCCAGAGTTTGGTAGCTCCCCAGCGGCAGCAGTCGCAAGCAGAGGTTTAGGCTCCTTGAGCAGCTCATGAGCTTGGCTAGCAGGCAGCATATTCGTCGCAGGCATAACGCTGAAGCCGAGTCTCTTTCCCGGCGAAACCTCCTTCGCATCTTTGGGCGAGAGCGACAAGATGTCTTCGGCAAACTTTCTCTGCGCGGGTGGGTCGAGCTGGCCAGGTCGAAATCTGCCTTTGCTGAGTTGTCTTTGCAGGTAAACGCTTGGCCTCGGAAAGTTTTGGGAAATATAGAGCGAGACATCGATGGGCATCGCGGATTCCGAGGCTGCTGGAGAGGTGGATGACCACTTGTTCGAAAAGACCCTCTTCAGCTGCGCGTTCAGACCGCGCCTGTGTAGACTGTTCGTCGTTCGCGCCTCGCCATCAAGGCGCGGCGACGGTATCGTGATTGGCTGAATGCTATAGCGCAAAGTCAGACGAGCGGATGAGTTGTGTATCCAAGCGCTGAGTAGGAAGATGAGCCCCAGGAGGCACCATGTCGAAAGCACATTCCTCATCCAGCCAAGTTGCGCAAAGCTTGCGAGGGAGCGCCGTTGAAATCGCAGGTTTCGCTGCATCAGGCAAGATATCAAGCTCGATTGAGGTTTTGCTCAGTCGTCGGCCTAGAAGATGTGGTTGAGGAGTCAGAGTCGGATGAGCGTTCAAGGCAGCCGCTAGGCGAACGCGCATCGCAATGGGGACTAGAGAATGCGAGACTAGACTCACCTTTTGCAAAGCAACGGGGTGTGAAAGAGAAGGTGCAAGCGTGAAAGTTTGCAACCCACTTGGATCAGTGCGAATGCATCTCGCTTATCAACCTGTACCACGCACAGCCTCTTGGTAGAATGCAACGTCGCAGCAACCATCGCCTTTCGCTAAACCGAGCTTTCTCAGCACCGTTGACCACTTGATGCGTCGCAGATAGCGGCACCCATGAAACAGAGACGCCACCGAATCACGCGTGCGCAAGAGTCTCCCCCCTCTTGCAGGCGGAAGAGGCGCAATCGCGAGCGCGCGAGCATCAGATTGGGCGGCCGCTCAAAAGCTCTGCGGCCCATGGCCGAGCAGCAGAGCAGGTCTGAGCACGATCCGCAACACGTCAAGATTCTGGAGCGAAGGTCGGTCCGTCGGTGGTGGCGGCGCAAATCGCGCACCGCCGCGTCATCATACGCGAGTGGCGATACGGACCAGCTTGTCAGGACTTGTGTAGAAATGAGCCGGAATTTTGCAAGAAATCATTCATGCCACGGCCTGCGATGGACGGCGCCAGTCGAGATTGCTCCTGTATCCCCCCTTAGGACCCCCACATATTGGTGGCGTGCGACAAGTCCGACGTTAGCATTTTACAAGGCGAATCATGAGAGCATGTCGAGTACCTCTTTCGCTCACCGAGGCTACATTTTCCCTCTCCCGTCATCGTGCCGTGAGTGCGATTGGCCAACTCGTGCGATTGGTGGAGCAGATCCCAAGTTGGGCCGATTTGCTCCAAGCTTGCACCGGCTCCGCCTCCATCTCGAGATGGCTACGGCTACGTAGACCGCGCCTCATGCGTGAACGGGTGCGTGAAAGCCTGTGGGCAGTTGCGTGCGTTGCAAAACGTGGCAGAGCGAGCAAGATAAGAAAGTCTGGATCGCATGTCGATCGGTCGACCGTGTCATCAAGAAGGCCGTGTTGATGCGCTTGTGTGCACCTCTCCAAGACTGTCGAGCACTCACCATCTGGAAGGACAGTGCGTCGCTACGACACTCTACCGTCTTTCCGTGGGAGCAGAAGTGTGAGCGTGAGCGAAGGCAGCTTGGACGAGAGACAGGATCGGCTTGGACAAGACTCCTCTCAACCACCACGCTTTCCCCGATCGGGTCAAGGATTGAGCGAGCGGGCACCTTGAAGGTGCTCGCTTGGGCCACGAGAGCCAACGATCAAAGCTGAGGCGCAAGCTGGGACGCAAGCCATCAGCATTTCGTCGAGCTCGATCCTTGCCTCCACCATGACGACGAGATTAGCCCTGCTGCGTCGACGCCTCTTCGCTGTTTTGTAATATTTCTGCAATCTGACCGTGCGCTGACTGGAACGAGGTTCAACGAGCATGGCATTGCGAGCTAGCAGTGCGCGATGGTCATCAAGCGAAAGGGGTCTACGCAGCGAAAACGCGCCAAATGGACCGCGATCGTGCGCTGCGAAATCCTCCTCACACTCGTCTGTGATCCGTCATTACCCGCACGATCGACCCCGTTCCAGCAACCTCGGTGAGCTGCGAGTCACGCAGGTGCGAGCGTCCAAAGGGAAGGGGGGGGAGAAAGAGAAAAGATTCGTGAAGAGCGCAATCAGCCAATAGCGTATACATGACGGCTGCGCGCTGCGCTACCCGAGCCTCTGCAGCTAGTGGGGCGCTCCAGACCAAAACGCACCTTGTCGTGCCAATTGAGAAGTACAGCAGAAGCTCCCAATTCAGGTTTGCCCAATCCCTTGTAGATGAACTTCATCAATGTGTCTTGTTGGTCCACATTCAGAGCCTTGACCACCGAAGCGATGTCCGAAGATTTTGTAGAGTTAAAGACTTCCAGGATCGTCGCGAGTGTCAAGGACTGTTGCGCGTGCGCGCAGGTGCGAGAAAGGAGCGATAGAAAGCGCATCGTTCAGAACGGTATCGATATCGCGCACTTGTGCGCAGCAAGGAGAGCGCGCCCGAAAGATCGAATTTGACGACGAGCTCACCTTGGCTTCTTCGGCATCTGGACTATATGGAGGCTCAGCCAACACTACAGCCAGAGCTCCCGCAGCATCACCTCTGCAATCAAGTCCAAGGAAAGAAAGAGCAGCCAGGAGTCAGCGAGGATGAGCGGCGGTGTTATGATCTGGGCCAAGCGCAAGCGCAGGTCGAGAGCGAGAGCGACAACTTTGAGCTAGCGCGCTACGACGCTGCGGGCTGCGGGCTTGCAAGCTGGCTCCTCTGTGCGTCGAGGCGAGCGGCGGAAAGCGAAATCGTCGCATATATGCTGACCGAGATGCCAGGTTCCATTCGGGTGGGAGGGGAAACGTTTGTGCCAGCAGCAGACAGCCTCGCTTTCTCAAGCGAGCCGCAAAGACCTCTCGCATCCCTGCGCGCTCCATTTCCCCAGCGCACACTCCTGCCTCTCGACTCACCTCCCAACCAATCCCCTCACTTCTCCAGCTTTGGATCTGGCCAAGCTCAGCACGTCCGCAGCAGTTCTGATATCCGCATCGTACAGATCCTCATCATTCAGAGCCTCATCGTCGTAGATGTCCACATTGATCTTTCTAAAGTCCGACATGGCTCTCTCACACTCTCTGTGTGTGTCTCCCTTTCTCTTGTACCTCCACAGGGGGCGCGAGTTGCGGGCGGCAGATTGGGGGGTTCTGCTCGGAAGTTTGTCCAGGAGAAGGTCGAGCCAGACTCTCGTGGGTGGTGCCTTGAGTGCCGAGTGCCAAGATGCTCGAGAATGTGAACACTGTACTGAGATTGCAAGGCAGGCTATTCACGGATGGGCTTTGATGGTGGAGATGGGTGTGATGTGGTGTGAGCAGCTGTAGCGCTGGATGCGGGTACGAGAGGTGGTTGCTGTGTGGTGCTGCGCGCGCCTCTGGCGGTGCTACTCACATGAATCAAGTCACGAGTGGTGATTCTGCCGCTGCTGCTGGTGACCGCGATCGTATGTATGTGCGCACGTCCCACGCGCTCTTGACTGTTTCGGTCACGTGTGCAGGCGTCTCGGCATCTGTACGCGCGCGCCTTGAATTTTGTGCAATTCACGATTTGATTCAATTCAATCTCTGACTGCGTGCACGACAGCTTCTCGATCGACTGGCATGCAAGAGTCGCGTATTTGTTGATGAAAGTTGGAAGTTCTTGCAATCTTGACTCAAGACTCGTGACTAGCCTCGCTCGCATTCACACTCACACTCACACTCACACTCACACTCACACTCACACTCACGCCCAACCCCATACTGTGGCTCTCACTAACACCCATTCAGATGTGCTGATTGGTTCTGAATGGCGTTGCATTTCTCTTCCCAGCTTTGCCAAGTTTACAACCACCCCAAGCCAGCCCAGCGCAGCCCAAGATGCCGCCCACACCGTTCGCCCCATCTCATCAGACGCCCTTCAAATCCAGCGTATCCACCGCCATGTCAGGTGCGCGAGCCAGCGCGCGTCTTCGGTCCGACTGCGAATCGCAAGTGTGGCCACCTGCACCCGGCAGCATACGCGCGCAAGATTTGGATGCGAGGGAATGGAGTTATCTGGCCGAAGGGGGCAAGAATCTGTTGCTCAGGTATTGTGGAGAGAGCAAAAAGGGAGAAGGATGGCCCTTTGTTCGAACAGGTGGCAGAGAAGCGTTGGCGCTGCGTGTTGTGAAGCGCGAGAGGGGAAGCGTGCAGCGTGGGGGTGAGGCTGCGACGAAGGTGCAGCAGGAGCAGGTGCAGGAGCAGCAAGAAGAGGAGGAGATCGATGCGTTTGGCTGGAGAGAGCAAGTCGTCGCTCCTTTGCTGCATCCAGGGGTAGGGCTAGGGCTAGGCGCAGGGGCAGGGGCAGGGGCAAGCGCATCCTCTTCTTTGGCGCAACGTGAATGCTCAGCACATTCGCTGCTGCCTGCGATGCTCGAGATCCAATTGCCAGGCCACCAACAAGGGACGGTCTCTTCCTTCTTGGCTCAAGTGGCAGCGCGCATCGAATTGTCTCGACCGGCCTCTCGAAGAAGAGTTTCGGGCATCGACGAATCAGCCAACCGAGTGTGGGCCGTGCAAGATCTCAGTTGGAGCGATGACGATGCTGAGCGCCTTGATGGTGCTGGTGCTGGTGCTGGTGCACACCCGCAAGCACAAGCACGCGCGCCCGCTTCATTGGCCGTCGAGATCAAACCCAAGTGGGGCGCTCTGCCTTTGCCTCTTGCTTTGGCCGCGCTCAGCAGTCACCCAGAGAGCGCAAAGAGCGCAGAGCTGAAGGGCCGACATTCGAGGTACATCATGCATCGCATCTTGAAGCAGAGAAAGCAGCACACGACGACGACGACGACGACAACAGCATCACCATCATTATCGCATCACGATGCAGAGCCTCTGATGAACAACATGTACGACCCCCTCTTGCTCTACTCGGACGATGCGCACCAACGCCAAGAAGCGCTGAGAAGACTCGTTTGGGAGTGGAGACATGGTTGGGTGGAAGTGGAGGGTGGGGCACACGAGATGTCCAGCACATCTGCATCGCGCAAGAAGAGCAAAAAGAGCAACAATTTGAAATTCTTTGTGGGCGATGATGGAGAGGTGGATGTGAACAGCGTGAGTGTAATGAGGATGCAAGGTTTGCCCACGTGCAGCTCCCCCATCTGACATTCGGCCGGCTTGCAATGCAGCCTGCAGACGTGGCCCGTCTCACAAGTGCGGTCTCTGCGTTCAGCGGCACACCCCTTGCCGATCTCAAAGATGCATCAGCGCTCGACTCTGCGCTCGTGCAGCTGCTTCTTCCCCATACCGGCACCGCTGACCATCTGTGCGCCCCGCTGAAGCGTTTGGTGCACCTTCAAACAAATCTGGATGCTCACGATGTTCAAGGATTAGCTCAGAGGTGGAAGGCTGAGACGGGAAACGATGTGCTTGGTGTACTTCCATCCGCATCGCATGATGCTGTTGCTGCGGCTGCGAGACAAGGCGATCTGGTCAGCGCGCCCACTCTGCAAGAGTACGCTGCGCTGGTCCAGAAAATCGGCCATGATGAGCGCATCAACAGTCGCTTGTCGCTAAGGGAAGCTGTGCTGGCTTACCTGCTCAGCGCCTCGTTCAAGGATTGCAGCCTCATGCTCCGCCTAGAGTCGCAAGATACGCAAATAGTGCAGGGAGCGATTAAGCTCATCGACCTTGATCCCAAACCTTTCGGCAAGCTGCCCCATTACCAAGCGCTCGATCGCGAAATTGTCGAGAATTTTGCCAAGTGGAAAGCCGGCGCTGCAGATGTGGTAGAGGAGAATAACGCTGTGCGCACTCCTGAACGTCAAGATCTCCGAGGCTCAGAGTGGGGTCTGATCGCTGGTCGAACATGGACCTCGTCGGCTACCCCTACGCAAGACGACCAGACCACAAGCTACATCGAAGAAGTCATCAAGGGTACATACGCTGCAATCTTGAACGACAAGAGCGTATTGGGCGTGCTAAAACTCCTCGGCGAACAAGTCGGTCGAGGAATCACTTCTAGACAAAGTTTCGCCCTCTCTTTGCCCAGCACACCTGTCGAGCTGGGCCGCAACACGGACCCTTTGGTCATTCTGGCTGCAGGCGTGGCTGCGCTGCACATTTACGTCAGGCTGAACTGGACCGGACCTGAATTGGACCGGGGCGAAGAGGATCTGAGACCACTTGGAGTTTTGCGAAGTGCTGCTCCGAACGCTTTTCCCCCCCGTCAAGTCGACATTCCGAGCGGTAGTGATAGCGATGGCGATGGCGATCCTGGCGACATGGAAGGACAACTGCACGATGCGGCGCTAGAGGCGCTGACGAGATCTGGCGAGCCGGCTTATCACTTGGCTAGACAGCCCGCTTGGTTGGTGATTGCGCTTCTGCTCATCGACGCTGCCAAGGGACCTCAAAGTCAAGCTTGGTGGCGTTTGAGAGCAGCTTCGATACACGTGCGCTCTCTGGACGCGCCTTTGCCGCTTGAACCTGCTCTACTGCGAGATCTGAAGCCCCTTAGAGACTTGTTGGCCAGAAGAGCACGAGAGGACGGCAAGTGGGCAGGTCTGCACGCTAGGCTCATACTCGAACATGGACTAGCACTTCAACGAGCGGGGAACGATAGATTGGCAAAGGAGCTCTTTGTCGAGGCTGCCGCAGCCAGTGGCTTGCGCTACGAAATCACCGGAGCGCTGGGTAAGCGAACATTCTACCAAAAAGAAGATAGGACGCAACTCGTGCTGCTTGCTGAGAGCGCCAAAGGACGAGAAGATGAAGGCGTGAGCGGGGAAGGAACATCAAAGGATGAGATCGTCACGAAGGAGAAGCCAAGCGAACAACGTGATGGAGCGCCCGAAAGCGGCTGGAAGTCTTCCGTGGACGAGAGCCAACCGAAGGATATGCCGGCCAGTCTGCTGCACAATGACGATACATTCATGGAGCGCACCAAGTTCACCTCTTCCGCACTAGCTGCTGGACAAGATTCGGCGGCTGAAGCATCTTCAATGCTGGATACGCAAGATCCCAACGACCCTTCACCGCTCTCCCCCCTAGATGCTTGCATTCTGCTAGCTTTCTCCCTCGACCTTCGCAACTCTTCACCCTCCCACGGTCTCGTCGCTTCGCAAATCTCTGCCTTTGTAGCGCGCACCCTTTCTCACGCGCGCAATTGGAGCGTGCACACCATGGCGCTTCTGCTCCGAAGCCGTCTGGAAGCTCATCGAACGCGCACGGCTGAAAGAGGAGTGCTGCAGCTTCAGGCGTTGGTGGATCAGATGCCCAGCGCAGATAGCTCGACGACCGAACGCTTGCTCCTCTTCCATTCGCTCGACTTGCCATCGGCGTGGGAGATGCGCGCGGAACTTGCAAGACTGTACGCAGCTCTAGGTGTGATCAGGAGCGCTTTGGAAATCTTTCAGAAGATCGAGTTGTGGGAAGAGGTGGTGGCTTGTCTTGGAGCGCTGGGAAGACAGCAAGAAGGTATAGAGGTGCTGCATGATCTGATACAGGGTCGAAAAGTGGAAGCGGATCACTTTATCTCTGAGCGCAAGGCGAAGAGAAAGACGGAGACGCACGCAGCTACATCCGAGCTCGCCAGACGCAAAATCAACAATGCCAGAATGGCCAAGTTGTGGTGCCTATTGGGAGATTTGCAAGCGGAGCAAGCTCAAACGCATTATGTGCGCGCGTGGGACGTTTCGCAAGCTTCTTCTGCACGAGCAGCTCGGAGCTTGGGCGGCTTGTTCTTCGCACTGGGCCAACACGCATCAGCTAGCACGTGGCTCAAACGAGCGCTCAGCATCGCCCCTCTCTTCACTAGGAGCTGGTTCATGCTGGGTTGTGCACAGATGAGGCTGGAGAAGTTTGCGGATGCGGCGGCTGCGTTTAGAAGGGCGGTAGCTTTGGACGAAGAGGATGCAGAGAGCTGGAACAATCTGGCTAGCTGTTACTTGCGCATGGGATCGGACGAGGATGCGGCTAGATTGGCTAGCGCGCACGATCATGCGCCCGATAGCGTTGCTGTAGTGGACCGAGCCACGATCAGTACCAGCGAGGCGGAAAGCGATGGCAGCCAAACCCTCACGGATGGTCTTTCGTCGCGCGGAGACTCGGGCGTGGAAGTGTCTGATGTCGACGAGGATCAGGAGCAGATGATGATGGTTGGACAGAGTCGAGCACGAGGTACGACACCTTACGAGCTCCGATTGCTCGCCCATCGCGCGCTAGCAAAGGCGGTGCGCTTCAGTAGAGACAATTGGCGAGTGTGGGATAATTACATGATGGTCTCTTTGGATGCTGGATACCTATCCGAAGCGGCTAGAGCCTTGACCCGCGTCATTGAGCTTCGAACCTCTTCGCGGGATGCAGGTGGGAAATCGGCGATGCTGCAAGTCATCGATATGAAGGTTTTGCAGCGGCTCGTCGATGCGGTGACTCGCGCACCGGCAGGTGCGCAATCTACCGATTCCGAAGAGTACGTGCGCAGCCCCAACGAAGGTCCCGGCCTATTTCCTGCCGTCTCGGACCTTTTCAAAAATGCCATTCTAGATAGGATCACACCGTGGCCAGCTTTGTGGCAGACGTACGCCCGCTTATTGTTGTGGCAAGGAGAGTACAAATCGGCATTGGAAGCGCATTTGAGCGCTTGGACGACCGGACAAGAAGGACCCGGCGCGTCGGATAATAGTGCTGTGCAAACGGACAAGCAGACGTTTGTGCGAGCTGTCGAGCAGTTGGAAGAGCTGGTAGAGCTGCTGGAAAATTATGCACCTAGACCCGCTTTCAATCCGACGATTCGGGCATCGCTCTCTGCAGCTGCTGACACGCAAGTGTCAGAGGAGCAGGAAGAGCAGCATCATCATCAACAACAACAGCAGCAGCAGCAGCGAGTGGCCATGCCCAATTGGGCCTTTACAGCAAGGAGTCTGGTCAGATCCTTCATGGGCCGGACAAAGAGCGCATTTGAAGATGAGCCAGAGTGGGAGAGGCTCATTGCTCTACGAGACGAACTCAAGGGCAAGTCCTGATTCGGCCGTTGTGTCTTCCAGCATCAGCGGAGAGAGGCACACGCAGCGACTCTTGTCGCACGCACCTCTTTGCGATCCTACCCCCCCAAAGCTTGGCTCAGTCTTTCGCTCCATCTGATCAACTTGTAGGCGCTCACGCCAAGTGCGCTCCGCTCGACCCAAGCACGACCATGTATCTCCCCTACTGCGATGCACGACGCGCAACAAGCGCAGACGATGCACTGTACCCACGGGTCCATGCAACAAGAAAGGAAGAGATAGCGAGTGTTTTGCTCGCGACGAACCTAGAACGAGCTGTCCTTCATAGACGAGGGTCACAAAATTCATATGCGCGTGCAAAGGTTTGAATTGAGAAAGCGAGCGCAGCAAAATGTCGCGGCATGGGGTGTGAATGGGATTGGAAAAAACGTAGCAAAGTGTCGCGTGCGCCAAGGAGATCAACTTGAAGGAGGATCGTTTAAGAGAAGATGTGCTTCGCGGAAGGGAGAGATGCAAGACGTTGTGACGGATCTGCCTTGGCTCTGACCATTGTCAATGTTGCGTATGAGGGCGAGCAGGGGATGAGTGAGAAGTGATACATGCGGACAGAAATGGTGCTTTGTCAAAGAAAGGCGAACAAACGAGCTCCTGCGAAACGCTCAGATTCCGCTTCAAGCAGGCACGCCGGAAATAGCATCACCCGCAGCAAAAGTGCGGGGGGACTGAGCCGCGCTTCCTCCTCCCAACTCGCACCGTTCCAAGAGCGCATGGTAAAGGAACTTGTAAGCCCAAAGATTTCCCTTCATCCGCCTGATGTCCAGGCTGTACAGTCCCGCCAAATTCTTGATCTGCGTCACCTCTACTGAGAAGCGAACTTCTTGCCCTCCATCCACCGACGCCTCTCCGTATAGCGGCTGCGGTGGCCCAGCTGTGCTAGCACCTGCAGCATCGCTGGAAGTGGATCCTTCGCCGTTGGCCACACTGGCAAGTGTCACGCTCTGCTGCTGGCTGCCTCGGCGCAGGAAGCTTCGAATGCTTCCTGCAGGCCCACTGGCCGGCGACTGACCAGCAATGCTGCCGCTAGGCGACAAGGGCGGACGTGCGGACCTCTCGTAATCCGCTTGCGTAGGCGGGAAGACGGAAGAGCGTAAGCCCAATCCCAGATTTTGCGCAGCTCCGATCAACGTCTTTGGCTTTTTGCGTCGTACGCATTCGAGCTTGTAATCCTCGTCGCGCTCCTTGTTCACTTCGATGCCCATACCTTGCAGCACTTTTTGCACCTCTGCAAAAACTTCTAGCGGAGGTCTGGAAGTGAGAGCCGACTGATCCACCGCTCCTTGGTGGAAGCGCAGACTGACTTCTTGCGCTGCCCGAGATCTCGGTGTGATCGGAGCTGCGGGAACAGCGAATCCGCCATCTTGGGGCGAAGCGGGCGACAAAGCTCCTCCTCTCGAAGAAGCGCGAGGGGTAGGGGCATTGGGAGAGTCCGTTGCGCCTGGTCTGCCAGCTTGAACAGTGGACGCTCCGCTGGACTTGACGCCTGGAGCCGCGTTGGACGAGGCAGAAAGCGAAGTGAGCGTGGTGTTCTCCGTCGCGTGGCTTGCCTGGCTGTGAGTGCCCGATGTGGAGCGCGAAGAGGGAACAGATTCCATGGGTTGAGCCGAAGCGCCCGCTGCAAAGTTGGCGCCGGTCGCGCCAGTGACGACCACGCGAGGCGCCTCTGTCGCTTGAGAACCACTGGCCTGTTTCCGACCAAGGGAAGCTTCGATCGATACCTCGCTGGCCGAAGGGTCGCGGTCAAAGGGACCGAACGGAGGCTGCTCGTTGAAAGTTCCCCGAGATAAGCTCTTCTTTCGGAACCAGTCCATGACCTTTTTGGCCGCGCTGCTGGATGGTCCGACGGTGGAAGAGCTTTCGTTGACGCTTTCGTCGAAGAGGGCGCCCTGTGCTCGGTTCGATCCATTGGCGGATCTGCCAGCAGGCTGCTTCGAGGGGGTGCGAGCAGACCGAATTGATGCATTAGTCGCTGGCGAAGCTTGTTGAGAAGCCGTCGAAGAAGCGGGTCCGGCGCGTTTGGGCGTGTCGAGCTGCGATGCGTTCTCCTTGCGCGCGCGACCCGTCAGTCTGCGCTCTTCCTTTGCAACCTTAGCAGCTTGTTGCGCCTTTTCGCGATCCCGAGTAGCTGGTGAGGATTGATCGCCGAGTCGACCAACGACCAAACTCATTGCCTTGCGGCGTCCGCTCGAAGAGCTGCCCTTGCGATCAGCTGCAGAGTCGCGAGTAGGCGTGACTGGCGTAGCTCCATTGGAGTCGTTGGAGTCGACAGGTGCCTTTTCAGACGTTTCAGCTGCAGGATTGGCCTCAGCCGCGACATTCGAGCCAAGCAAGCGGGCAAACGAGAATTTGTCCGTAGACATGCCTTTGCGATGACGCGAGCTGCGTCGTTCAGGCGAAACTTGGATCTTCGCCAAGCTGTCCGCGTCGGTCTTTTCCGGCTGAGCGCCGCCGGAAACAATTCTACTGCCCGCATTCGTAGAGGGTGGGTTGCCTGCGGGCAGCGGATTCGAAGGAACACGTCCGGAGTTTGTCGATGGGCGGCCACCAGCTGATTTGCGTGGAGAGGGAGCAGGGACGCTAAACTCAGATGTGTTGGTCGTTGGCAAGATGGAATGATCCTCGGGTGTAGCAGAAGACGCTCCGTTCTGAGCTCCAGAAACATCGCGAGCTGGAGAGGTGTGGGTGGAGCCCTTGCTCATCGACGCCTGTCTCTCCGCTGCAGGTACCAGAGCCGGCACTGCAGGGATGACAGCAGCTTCTTGAGAGGTGACGGGAGCCGAGGCGCCGTCCACACCAATACGAGGCGCGCTGCCCTTCTTGTCGACGCGAGGGACGGGTGGCGCGTTTTGCGCAGAGTCGTTGCGCTGTGCTGCTCTACGATTGTCTCCATCGTACTCCAGCTGAATCGTGTGCCGCTGCGGCTTCTGAGAAGAGGGTGTCTTTTGGTGCCCACTCGACTCGGGAGGCGCTTCGCGTTTGCGCGGCTCATTGGGCATGCGGTTCAGCTCCTCTGGACCGAGCTGCGCAAGAGCTTGTGGCGTGCTGTAGGCAGGTGTTGGAGGAGCAGACACTGCTGGCAAATCTGCGGGTTGCGAAGGCATACCAGTTGTGGGCCGCGAACGAGAAGCGTGCGCGCCAGAATTGTCGTACAACGCAGACTCGGTGCGGCTCGCTGTGGTTGTTGGCATCGCACTCTGATGGCGTGATTGGCGTGGATCGGGGGCAGCTTTGCCGGAGCTACCGCCCGCGCGGGATGCCGGTCCGCGACCGGAGCGCTGTTGGTCCTGAAGCTGTTGCTGGACCTGCATCTGTTGTCTGTAGACTTGGCGCTTCTTCGTCTGCTGCTCCACTGCTGCACGTTCCAGCTCGTCGACGCTGAATCTGAAAAGGTCGCGATAAGGCGCCAGCCAGCTGTGCGCCATGACGCCTTGCAGGTCCGCACGACGCCTTGGGTCGGGTACGAGCATCTTGGACAAGAGATCGCGCGGTTCGGCGCTAATATACTCTGGGAAGGACAAGGGAGTGGCCATGATGTACTTATAGAGCAGATTGATGTTGTCACCGTCCGGGTTGTTCGGATCGTCGTCAAAAGGCAGGTAGCCTGCGAGCATGGCGTATAAAATGACTCCGCAAGACCACACGTCGACGGCAGAGCCTGCGTACAGACCGTCTTGAACCACGAGCTCGGGTGCTGCGTAGCAGGGACTGCCGCAAGACGTGGCCATGAGGTCATCCCTCCTGTCTTCGAAGTTGTTCGCGAATCCAAAGTCGGTGATGATCACGTTGCGATTGCGGTCCAGTAGCAGATTTTCCAGCTTCAAATCGCGGTGCACAATCTTCTTCTTGTGCAAGTAGGACACGCCCGAGATGAGCTGCGCGAAGAGCCGGCAAGCGTCGCGCTCCTTGAGATACTTGTGGGCCAAAATGTGATCAAACAGCTCTCCCCCGCTGGCATACTCCAGCACGATGCCAATGTATCTGTCAGATTCAATGACTTCGTACAGACGTACAATATTTGGATGTCTCACGTCCTGCGGCACGAAAAGGTAAAAGTCGAACAACGTGCGTCAGCTAGCTGCTTCGCTTCTGTGAGACGCAACCCGGCGCGTTCATTTCCAAGGTTACTCACCTTGAGCACCTGAATCTCACGCTCCACCTTGGACATCTTTGCCGGATCCTTGGGGCCATTGATGTTGAGCTGACCATCAGGTGAGCCAATCTTGTCCCGCTTGATCAATTTGACCGCCACCTCCTCTCCCCACTCTTTGTGCACGCCCAACTTGACCTTGCCAAATTCGCCCTCTCCCAGAGTCTGGAGGAGGAGGTAAGCTCCGAAGTGTACTTGCTGTCTACGAGGATGCGCAGCAAAATATGACAGCGCAGCTGGAGACGTCACGGGGATACCGCTGCTGATGGCTTGAGACGTGGTCGAGTCAAGCCCCGTCGCAGAGGACGGCAGGGGTGGAACGCTAAAGCCGCTCCCTGGGCCTGCAGTCTGAGAAGAGGTCATGGTGGGCTGAGCTGTCGCACGCCTGTCATTGTAATTGCTCTGCCCCGCATTCATCGAAGCCATCACTGCAGCAGCATCGTTGCCGACAACGCCAGTAGTGGAAGAAGCGTTGCTTCTGGCAGACACTGGCATTGCCGACACTGGTCTGTGCGCGTGCGACTGCCCGCCCGTAGCAGCTCTGCTAGGCGGGTGAGATTGCTGCTGCATGGCGTGACTGGCGCCGCCGATGCTGGCATATCCCGATACATCTGCAGCACCCGCTCTGCCGCTGGGCACAGCAGGAGCGCCCATCGCGCCCTTGACTGCTCCCGCCTGAGCTTGGTGTTGGGGTGAGATGGGAGGGGAAGGGTAGCCTGGTGATAATTCTCTCCCGCTGGTCGCGTAAGCGCCGTTGGATTGCCCTTGTCGAGTCTCGCGCTCCCAGGATGCGGACTGCGCGCCACTGCCAGTACCTGAGCGTTGCGGGGACGCCGGTGGCGATGGGTGAGCGGTTGCCGTGGACATCGTCAATGTATTTGGTACAAAGTCGGAGATGCAAGCTGGGGCGTTGGTGGAACTGTGAAAGGAGTCAACCATAAGATCGCGTGAGCGAGGAATTTGCTGCGGGGCCGTCGGCGCGGCAGGGCCAGCGGAGAGCGAGAGCGACAGGGCTTTGTTCGCGCGCCCACCACGGAGCTCGATGCAAGCACCGACGCACGCACCCCTCGCTCTGGCGGTCCCGGCTGTATGGCGTGCCTGCTCCTGGCTTATGCCGGCTTCCGTCATTGTGGGGCCAGCGAGAACCCTCGTGCCCAAGCGGTGAACGAAGCACTTACAGATCAAGACACGTCGCCTTCAAGATCCCGATACGTTCACGGAGCGCTTGTCCTGATTGAACGGGAAGCCGCAGGGGAGAGAGATGCTTGCTGGGCGCTTCGTGGTGATTGAGGCCAAGCAGGGCGGACTACTCAGCAGCCGAGATTAGTGATGGGGTCGGCCAATCGAATGAGAAGCTGCCCACTCTGTGACTTGCGTTGGCAATGAGCGACAGAACACGCAAAGGCGACAGTACACGCACGGAGACCAGTACTGTTGAGCTTGAGGATATTCGCCAGAGAAGCGTTGACTTGTGGGTCGGATTCCGACGACCACTTGGTTCCGCTCGCTTGTTCCACGATTAGGTGTATGAAAGCCCGAAAGGCGAGTGGGGACGCGATGAGGAGGGCGGAAGGCGTGCAAGACAGACCAAAAGATACGCAAGCGAGCGTGAGGGCGCAAGAAGCGAGTCCTGGTCGACGATCTAGTGCGCGTGGAATGACACCGCACCGCACTGCTGGGTGGTGTGGGGGATGATGTGTGTGAGCACTGACTTGTGAAGAGGGCCAGCAGGTGAGCGAGGATGGGGCAAGTGGGGTTGGAGATGGTCAGAAGCGATGGGTCACGTCTGTCTGTCTGTCACACAGACTGTCGCTGTCGGAGTCGAGATGCACACTACAAAGCGCGAGCCAATGCCAAATAGAAGGAGAGAGGGAGGCAGGCAGGCAGGCAGGCAGGACAGGTCACGGAGGCAGAGGCAGAGGGCCCGTGTGCAAGGCATCCAAAGCGGAGAGTCACGAGCCAAAAGTGGCTGCGTGATTGCTGCCGGATGGCTGCTGCTGCTGGTTGCTACAGTACACCACTCAGACTGATGACATGCAGACATGAATTCGGGTGACGGCTGGACCGTCGCGCATAGCGCGCTCGTCGTGGCCTATCGTCGCTGCTGCATGGCTTTTCCCCACTCCCTAAAGCGAACGAAAAGAGGTCGCACACGCACACGCTATGCACGCATGCGACCAGCCATTCAGCTTTAGGCGTGATGAGGGCGCCAGCCCTGTGTCTATGCGTCGCTGCACGGAGTCGAGAGCTTCCTGCGCACCCACCCTCACATGCACCGCCCCATGCAATCGAACAAGGTTTGACTGCTTCACCGCCTGCGCGCTGTCCAATCGCGCAGATGAGCTCATTGCATGACTGTTCATGCTTGAGGGCCCCGCCGCCATACTACTGACCATCACTGCATGCACGCCCCGTGCTGCGTGTGCCTGTGCGATCGCCGCGCTGTCTGGCGTGCATACCGCGGCCGCGCAATCTGGCTGGCCACTTACAGCACTGCATCAGCATGCAGCAGCTGCATGCCCCACCCTCTCGCTGCGCGCGTGCAGATCACCGGCATTTGTGAATATATTCGCGATTGTGCTTCGAATTGGAGCAGCGGTCTCAGGTCTGTCGCACCTTGAACATTCACGATAATTGGCGGCGGCGGGCGGGAACATTTGTTCGGGCGGTTCACATGTCGAGGAATTAAGCGAATGCTAATTGAAGCATCTTTTTGAATCGTGAATCAAGAATTGTCGCTACAGGGTACCGGTACGGATAGATGCGGGCAGGCATGTGAGCAACCAACCTATAGCTGCTTGCGTGATTCCTGTGTGAGAGACGGACGATTCAAAAGCGGTCTTGACACCGCTGTGCCCATGCGTGTCTAAGTCAAGAGTGTGTGCATTTGTATGGTCTTTCGACTCGCGACCGAGTAGGGCCGACTCAAGGCGCCTTACCCTTGATCGCTACCGCTACCGGTACGTCTCGAACGCAAGACAAGATGTGAGAGACAGATAGACCGACTGCGCCCCGTTTGTATATTACGCAGGTCCATCGATCGTCGAAAGATCGTCGTCTTCTACCTTCGACGAGGGTGGTTTTGCGTGCCGGAGCGGCGAAGCTCGACGCTCCTCTGATGACAGCACGCAGCAGAGCGCACCAGAAATGTGGCATCGTCAATCAAGAATCATAATGAACATGCAGCTATCGATGCGACAAATGGATCGCATCCAATGCGTCCATCGACACTGTGATCGGCAACTCGTGAATCGTGAATCGTGAATCACCACCAGGAAACTCGCACGCATCAGTTCATCAGCCTTTCCGCGTACATACGTTCCGGCAACGTCAAGAGAAGCGCTGCATACACAGAAAGAGAGACGATCAGGGCGGCAAAGTTCCCTTTCCGCTGCTCGTAAGAGCGAGCGACTGTTTGGGGAGAAGCAAGCAAGACAAATCGCGAATGCAGCGGGAGCTAGCGCAATTGCAGCCGCTTTTGTGGCTTGCTTTTCCCCCCCCGCTCGCACTACTCGAATACTCGTGACTACTCACACGTGACTATTAGCACCCGCTGCCGCCTTCCGCATCGCTGCATGCCGATCAGCAAGACGACAATTGAACGACGAAAAACGAACAACAAGATGCGCGTACGCTTTCCAAAACTGCTCCACCTCTCAACTCTCGTACCCGACCAGTCCCTGAGCGACTATACGCAACAGCACTCGCTCGTATCGATACAGGTAGCACGTTACCAACGGCATTTTTGCAGCGACTCACCGTCTGTTAAACGCTATCACAGCTCGTAGTCGGGCATTCAACGATCATGCGCTGCTCCTCGGCATCCTCGCTTGGTCGTCGTATGCCACTCCATGCCAATTTAACCCTTGCATGGCTCCCTCACGCGCCATCTCGCAGCTTCGCTCACTCAGCTCAGCAATTTGCTCAAGGCGTGGCAGGCAACAAATGCCATGATTCTCAAAAGCGCTTTTAGAGGCGTGCGTGGCTTACTGTGTCTAGTCAATGTGGTGCAGCTGCACAACTACGATCAGTCCATCTATCCAGGCCAGCTTTCTCAGGACAATGTGCGGACCACGTGTAAATTGGTTGCAACACGAGCGCACTGATGTAGCTCCGACCATGCGACTAATGTTGCATGGCTGATTCGTCCGTGAAGAGTCGAGGAAAGTTGGGTGACAAGGAGACGACTTCGTCGACCAATTTCATGTCTGTGGGTGCGCGAAAACAGCAAGAGGGGAAGAGTATGAGCCCAAAGTCGTCAGCGATCATTAGCTGGCCTGTCTGGCAATCTATCCCCATGATAGAGTTTGGCAAGTTTCTCGGCACGTCGCTCGCATTGGCCGAGCAGCACGACTTGAGTGGCATGCGGTGGACTGTGGGTCTTGCGACTTGCGCGGACATCTTCTAATGCTCTAGAGCTCGACATGCAGGAGGACGAGCGCGAATGCGAGCTGCTTTCCGCTGATGCGCGCGCATCACCAGGCGCTGTCGACGACGCAAGGCCCAGCCTGGTCCAACACGGGAGCAGATCGATTCACTCATCCCATCACACCCACTCACCAATATCATGACCAAAGTGAACGCAGCTAAATTCTCTCAAAGTGCTACCATCCTCGCTGACTTTGCCCACCACCTCGACGTAGCCCTCGGGGTGCAGCTCAGTCTCCCTATTCAGCACCACCTCGACCAAACCCTGATCCGAAGTCTGAATGTGCACTTGCGATCCCGCGATCTGATTCGTTGGGCAAGAGGCCAAGAAGTGTGAGGAGCGAGGATAGCAGTCAGTTGGAGCGAGATGAGATGCAAAGGATCAAACACGTCGACGCGATGGAAAAGATCGACTCACACTTGTGATTTTGCCAATGACCCGCACTGTTTGACCGGCGTGTGATGGCATTCCGGACGAGCTGATGAGCGGCGTGGTTGGTAACTGCTCGTGCGAGAGGACAGGAGCGGATGAATGCTGGTTAGCGAACCAGCACGCAGGAGGGTTCTCCTCCAAACTTGCGCTTGACACCTTTTGTCTTTGTTCGCGTTGGAAATACTCACTTGACTCATGTTTGTATCGGCAGTGAGATGGCGGAGGTGAATGCGCCCTAGCCTGTTGATAAAGAGCAAGAAGATTCACTAGATTTGAAACTGCGCGCTGCAGCGCTTCCTGGATGTTGTGAGCCTGCGGATGCTTTGTGTACGAAGGTGCGCGCGAGGAGGGCACGATGGCTGTCCAAGCAAACTTGTGATGGTTGCGAAAGAGCGATGGGATGAGGAAAAGGAGGTGAAGTGCCAGCTACGAATGCGCATTTGAGTGGCAGTGATGAGTCCAATTTTGCTGCGAGTGCGAGTCCCGAGTGTTGCTCCCAAAGCACACTTGCTGCATCATCAGCAGCTCGATCTGCGTAACGCCGCACCACCGCACTTGTAAGTGCGAGCGCTATATATAGCTGCTGTCCCTGCTGCTGCTGCTGCTGCACCCGCCGCGTCGGAATCGCATCCCTCACTTGTGACTGAGTCACGTCTTGTTTGTGGGTGCATGACGCGTACTGCACAGCATTTATTCCTCAGTCACGACGCGTAAATGAGCCCGCGGCTGAAGGCGCGTGCATGTGTTGTACGCGTATACGCATCGGTATACCAGCTTGTACATCACCAGCAGCTGGACCTCGAAGTGATGTGGTCACCAGTCGCGAGTAGAAGAAGCCATCCTTCAACATTCGTAATTGGCTTCTTCATCTCCACGCATCAGCCCTGTCTGCGAGTCACGAGTGCACAAGCGAAGCAGGTCTTTCCACACCCACCCACCCACACACACACACACCCACACACACACAAAATCCGCGTTTCCTGGCCCCATTCACACCTCCTTGCGCTTGACTACAGCGAGGCCCTTGATGAGCACCTGGGTCTCTCGTTTGCTTTCAGCAGGCGGCTTCGGTGGATCCTCATCATCATCATCATCATCATCGTACACGTCCAGAACATCCAACGCAATGTCCTCCTCCGATAAATGGGTCTGTTCCGCCAACGAAGCTCTGCAACTAAGTCTAGTCAGCATCCACTCAAAGTCGAATGGATTAGATCGGAAATCCTTCCATCCCGATTTCACTTACCCAATCTATGGCGAGGCAGAGAGCATATACGGCTACACCGATCTCGGCATTCGTCTCTGCTTCTCTAGCGGAGCTCTATTGCCTCTGCTGCGCGTCACCTACAAAGCAAAGAACGAGAAGACGACTGCAAAGGTGGATGATGCTGAAGCGCTGATCAAGGCATTCTTGCCAGCAGATCAGCTGTTTGAGGACGAGGCTTCCTTCGAGAGGGCAGTGCGAGAGGAGAGCAGCGGTGCTTTTACACCCTTGGGCGAAAAGGTACTTGCATACACTCGGGCTTTGCAGTCTGGCACGGCCTCCAAAGGCAAAGGCAAGGGCAGAGGCTCGGCCAGAGGTTCCACATCTGCTCTACAAGCCGGAGGCGCCGCTTCCAGCAGCAGCGATGCGGGGAATAGCGAGAGGGTGTTCGAGATCTATCGTAGCAATTGGAGCACGCCAGGTTGGAAAGAGCAGCACAGGCGTATGCAGATCTTCACTTTGCTCTTCATCGAAGGTGCTTCCTACATCCAAGAGGAGGAGCCTGCATGGGAGTTCTACACCCTATACGAGCGTCAAGCATCATCTTTGTCTGCGACGGGCTACACTTGGCACTTTGTGGGGTACACCAGCCTGTACAACTTCTGGTGCTATCCCGATTCCTCCAGGGTTCGACTGAGCCAATTCATCATCTTGCCTCCCTATCAGCATGCAGGTCATGGTCAAGCCCTCTACAACAAGGTACTGGACGACGTCATCGCCTCTCCTCGCGTCATGGAGCTCACTGTAGAAGATCCTTCTGAAGCCTTCGACCGAGTCAGGGACGGCGCTGACTTGAGGAGGTTGTTCGATGGCGACGAGGGATTCGCCAAAAGGGCAGCTAGGGAAGGAAGATTGGTGCCTCCCTTGGATCAGATTTGGAGCGAAAAGATGAGATCCACCCTGAAGATCGCTCCGAGACAATGGAGCAGACTTGTGGAGATGGCCCAGCTGCTCAATCTGGATCAGGAAGATCACGAACAGATGCGACATTATCGCCTGCAGGTGAGACTGACGCCTCGTAAGCAAAAGTCTTTGTTCCGAACACGAGCTCCTGACTTTTTGCCCGTCCCCCCTTGCCTCCTCCATTTTCCCTCTCGCATTCTGATCTCCTCCAGGTCAAATCGCGTTTGTACAAGTTCAACAAGGACGTCCTTCAACAAATGTCGCGGGGCGAGAGGGTGGCCAAGCTTCATCAGACGTACGAAGGAGTCATCGAAGAGTATTCCAGCTTGACCGGTGTAGAGGTCGACGACTTGCTCGATGATTATGCGCTGGATGAAAAGGATATCAGGGAAGCCGAGCTGGCTGGAGAGGCTGCTGCAAAGGAGATCGCTGCCGCTGCAAATGGCAGCGCGAACGGACCGGCTAGAAAGATGGCTCGGTTGGGTTGAAACGCTCTGCTGCGGGCCACAGCAAGCTTCACGCAATACCACTGTCAAGGACTTGCACAACAACACCGTAGCATTGCACATGATGGTCCAATTCACATTGTATTGCAGCAAGTCTGGCGTAGGTCACGGAAAAAAAAAAGTCTATGTGACATCACATCTTGAAATCGCTTGCGCAGTCCTCGGGAAACCGGGGGAAGGGAGGTGGGGAGGGGGGAGAAGCCAATCAAAGCTTGCTGCCGTCGCCCTTGATGGGACCTTCTTCGGCCAGCTTGTTCTGAGTTCTAAGCAGAGGCTCGATCTCGGCCTTCCAACTAGCAGCGACGTGTTTGCCGACCAAGCTGCTGCCGTACTGGTAGTGGCCCAAGTTGTCGGGATTGCTAGAGTCTTTTGGAGCGGGGTGGTTGATGGGATTTCCCTCTGCTTCAGCCATCAACGATTCGTACACCCTTCCATCCTTTCGACCCAACGAGCTGGAAAGTTCCCAGTCGGTCCAGCCGAAAGCGTCGGTCAGAGCGATGACTTGCGGCAACAGCTCCGTGTGCAGATCGCGAATGGCAGTTTCGAGGTGCAAGACGCTTTCGGGAGTCAGAATGGCAGATCCGGATTGGTAGGCTGCCAAACCCCTACCTTGAGCAGCAGGCAGGACGAGCGGGGTAATGTCTCTAGCCACGCAGGTCAAGGCGTGAAGCACCACCAGCTTGTTGAGCCAATAGGTGGCATCCGATCCGAACCCTTCGGAATCGTCAGATACACCTTCGGTGAACCAAGCGTTCACCACAACTTCTGCGTGAGAGCGTGCCACCTCGACGCATTCCCAGGAAAGGTCCACAAATCGTCGGCCTGTGGACAAGTCTGCGCGCAGATCGGCCACGCGTCTAGCCGCCCGAAGACCGAGCACAGCCGTGTACACTTCGGGCTTGAGCCACTCGGCAGGCGAAGTGGGGGGCGAGAATTTGACAGCGTCCTTGTTCTTGAGCGCACCGAGGAAGGAAGTGGTGTTGGAGACCTTTGCGCCTGCGTTCTTGTCCAACTCGCCGGCGGTCTTGAGCATGGCTCTGCCTACTTGCTGAGCCAGCACGTAATTGTCCCCCTCGTAAGTGACCGTTGGTGCATTGTCGGGGAAGATGGAAGTGTAACCTGCGTAGGCGGAGAAACCATGTCCTCCGAGCGCCTGTCTGCACTCTTCGATCCCATCCAGAGCTTGCTTGGTGCAGTACGCCTTGAGCGAGGAGCTGGCAACGTGCACATCTGCGAGCAAAGAGGTATCTCCAGAGTCCAATTGAGCTGCCATGTCTTCATACAAGGTCCTCATGCGTCTTCCCGCAATGATGTACGCGTAGCTCTTGGCCAAGAGCGGGATGAGACGACGATGCAGGGATGGGTAGGAGAGGACGGATCGCTCGGGCTCTGCGACATCTTTGGAGTCTGGGTCGCGGAATTGACGTCGAACGAGAGAGTACCTCATGGCGATGGTGTTGCCTCTGGACAGCATCCATCCGGTCCTGTCGATCATTTGAGATCGGATAAAGATCATTCCACCGTACGACAGCTTGTCGGAAGGAGGTCTGACGTACTCTCCGCCCTTTTTGACCTGAGCGTGCTTGGCCAGCATGTTGTCTCGGGGCAGCTTGACGTGGTTGAAGCGCACCCATCCATTGTCCAGTCCACCGAAAGCGTCGTAGGTCTTGGGACCAATGTCTCCCGCAGCAATACCGTTGAACAATTTGCCGTCCTTGAGGCTTCTGAGCGGGACGAAGAAGAGGTGAGGACCGAATCGCTTGTTGTTGATGATGAGTTGAGCTTGGACGATACCGTGCGTAGCCGTCAGACCAGATCCACCGGCCCACCACTTGGTAGAAGTCAAGGTGGGGCTGTGCAGATCGAAAGTGTCGGTGCTAGGCTCGTAGGTCGCAAGGGTTTCGAGACCAGCCACATTGGTACCGTGACCCAGCTCGGTCTGCAAGTAGCAGCCGAGGATATTGTGGTCCATAGCTCTCTGACCCCAGCGCGCTACCTGCTCGTCGTTGCCCTGGCCCATGATGACGGGCACAAATGCCACCCAATGAATCGTGATTGGCTGCGCAGGAAGAAGGATGTGTGAGAGGAGGGCCGTGTCAGCGGCTGCGCTTGGGCGTCCACGAATCCTTCTTCGCGTTCCTGAAGCGCTCTACTCACGCTCTGCAGGTCGAGCGAGATGGCAGCATCGACAATCTCGTGCGTAGTCCACTCGTCCCTCTGAGCAATCTCTAGCAGGCGTCGGCAGGCCTTGTGAGACATTGTCATCTTTTGCTCGCGATTCATGTGAGCCCTGCAAGACGTTCAGTCAAGATGCGACATTGTTATCAAAAAAAAAAAAAAAAACAAGAAAAAAGATGTGAGCAAGCTGGGAGTTTCGCCAAGGATTCTTCCTTGCGCCGTCTTTTTCACACCCTTTTCAGAAATGAAATCGGGCACGCGGGGACCGTGGGCCTGGCCTGGCCTGGCCTGCCTTACTCACATTCTCTTCTTCCAATCACCAAACAGCTCGTCCTTATCCAGCGTCTGCACCACCTTGACGCGCGAATCGTTGTCGATCCTTCCATCCCTCAAGATGCTTTCGATCTTGGCAGGATCGAAGGCGGCCTTGCCTCTAGCAGCCTGCATATCCGTAGCTGTTTGAGAGGCCACATTTCCGATGGGAACGGGCAGCGTCACGCGCGGCACGCGACCACCGGTCTTCGACTCGCCGAGAGGTTGGTATGTCGAACTGGCAGAGGAGGCGCCAGCGGGGGCCGAAGTGGGGTGCGGCCTCGCTGCGTTCGACGTCGTCATTTTGGGCAAAAGATTGTGAAGGCGAGAACGAGAGCGAAGCTGAGGAGCGGTGGGGTGGGGTGGGGTGGAGTGCAGTGCAGTGCAGTGCAGTGCAGTGTGATCTGAGGGATGGGCAGTGTGATTGCGCGAATCAACCAGTGTCAGTGCAAGGGATGACTCAAAGTTGTGGAGAGGTGGCGAAAGCGTCGCTCTAGCCACGCATCAGGGGCTCTTATGTACCCTCGACGACGATCTCGAACAGTGTCACTGTTTTACTTTCCGGAGCAGCGCTTCATGTTGTAGCCGGTATCAGATGTTCATAACTTATGAGTGTCAGCGCGTTCAAAGCGTCGCGAGACTCGATCGTAACTTGATGTCTCTGAATTATTGCCATTGCCATTGCCATTGCGATTCCGCTTCCCCCATCTTTGCGAAGCAAGGTAGCGAGATGTGGCCTCCACAGGCACGTCGACGGTTCCGGATCAAGCGACCAGCATTAGCCGGAAAGCGATTATTGAGCGAGCCACAGCCGCGCGCGCGGGGAAAGGGGGCGCGCGGGCGCCATGATTCGCGCCGTGCATGCATCATCATATAATGCTGACGCAGTCAGAGTGCCGCGGTCGGGGAACGGAGACGGACTTTTTTTGAAAAAGGTGCATGGCTCCAGCAGACAGGGCGGCACCGAGCTCTCCGATTCCGGGGATCTAAAGCTGCTGCACGCAGCACGCAGTCCTGCTGACTCGCGGCTCAGCAGGCGTCCCATCGGCATCATTGCAAGCAAGCAGGCAAGCAAGCAAGCAAGCCCCCCAATTTCATGGCGCGGGGGAAGGTTGGATGGGATGCATGCATGGATGCACGGATGCACGGATGGATGGCCGCACGGGTCGCCCGCCTCCAAAGCAAGCGAGGAAGCGGCTCGCAGAAGCGCCAAAGCAGGTACCCGTAAGCGCATGCACAGCATCCATCAATAGGCAGCCCTGTCGCATCGTGTACACAGTGAACAGCATCTTGACCACACTCGTACCTCACATTGACACTGACGACTCGCACTCGAACCAGCCTGGGGGGGGGGGGGGGGAGAGGGAAATCGATCGCGATCTCGGACCGCGCGTGCAAGCACGCATGAAGCGCGAGCTAGAGGCGCTCGGAGAGCTCGTGTCGAGCTACATAGCTGAAACACTCGAGAGCTCATGTCGCATTGACAGGCTCGAAATGCTATATCTTCAGGCGAGTCAGCTCCCGGTCTCAAGATCACCTGCCCCCGAGATACTCTTCCGAAGGCTGGGGCGCATCGTCGAGTGAATGCGACCGGTCGCATTCATCGACGGCTCGTGTTTTTGATGATATCCAGAATGGTGAGATCATCGCACGGTTTCTCGTTGCACACTATGAGTGATAGGAAAAGGCAATCGGTGCAGGCCCTCGGTTGCGCAAAGTCTTTTGCCAGTCCTGAGCGAGCTCCTATCAGTATCTGCTGCATTCAGCAGTCCGTCTCTTCTCTCTGACGGTCGCGCCCTCCCAATGGGTACGTGGCAATAGGATGAATGTTCCTTCGCACACCGCAAGTATCGTTCGGCCGAGAGATGGATCAGGATGCCACGGCAATGAGCTCCATTCTGACTCGCGGAGCTGCTTCGCAAATCCAACGTGGAATGGGCTCTCTGTGGACGTCTGTTCCGCGTCAAGCTAAGCAGACAGTTTTGGGCTCGTCACCGTTGCGGTGGGTCGAATGCCACCATTGTCAGTTGATGATTTTCCAGATCGCAAGCTTCGAGGGGTGGACATTGAATGGATGAAACGAGCGGTCTATGCCTTGAAGAGTGCCATGAGAGGCAGCGCTCGTGTCATCACCACATCGGACCATTTTGCGCTAGCTGGATGCCCAAGAGCCATCTGCACCACCACAATTGCTGCGGGCCTGCTCCACCTACGTATACTTAGGTCGAGCCGTGAACAATGTCATATGCAACGACCGTTCTGAGTCTGTGATTCTCTTGTGGGCAAATCTGTGAGGCCGCGGGCGTTGCGCGAGCGAAGGCGCGAAGGCGCGAGGTGATCGGCTTCGTGTTCGATGTAGAAGCTCAAGAGCATTCGCGTGGCTATACCGTAGCGCCATGTCTGAGGCATAGGAAGATGCTGAACAGCGTAAGACGGATCTGTGATCTCGTCGCGGTGGTCGAAGGTGGCGTCTCCGTTGGCTTGCTTGACAATCAGGCGGCACAGATCTCAACCGAGGCGGAGCAAAGCTACTCTTGGAAGACCCAGTCTCTTGGGAGTGAGCCCTGAGCCACAAGTCGTACGTACGACTTTTGACAAAGATATGAACCGTACCGCCTTGCGTGAGATCAGCGCTGTCGTTATGCTGACATTCGATTCAAATTATTCATGATTCCTGATCTTTCAAGATTTCTGATGAGCGGCTCTCCTGTCACGTGCAGAGCAGGATCAAGAAGCTCCGTCCTGACTTTTCCCTTCGGGATGCATGTCTCAGAGGTACATATCGACACATGCAAATGCCAATCACGGATGCGCCTCGACCATTCTAGCCAAGACCACCTACCTACCTGACTGCGTTTCACTGGACCAAATTTCCGAACTGAAGGCTGGACGGACCACACGCTGTGAGGTGGAATCAAGAATGTCGCGCTTCTTGAATGGACGCGCATACTGCCCCCGACTGAGCACAAGCAAACAGCCCATCTTCGCATCAGGGTCGAGCTGTTGTAGCTGAGCTGTCGACTCGTGTTTCGTGAGGCGCAGCCGTTTGTTTGTGATGGCTGCTGTCCATGGCTCAGCTCTGACCAGTGTCAGTGATTTGAGAAAGATGAATCATCAGCAGGGTCTGCGACGGTGTGGCGGGTTGTCGTGACTTCACGAGTCGCAAAAGAGCATGGCGCTTGCTGGCGGCGCGCATCTATCTGTATGTGAAAGAGCAAGGGCTGGATGTCAGTTCTTGAGCGCAGACAGGAGAGCAAGACTTGGCTGTCTGATGCTGCAGCGATTGCAGCATCAAGTACACTATACACTATAGCTGTGTGTGCATGCTGTTAGTCGACGTGAGCCGCTGCCGCCTCGGGCCAGACAGCAGCAGGGCAGCTATAGCTCTCTTCAGAACAGGCGGGCCCGCGAGCTTTAGAGACGCTAAATCTAGACTTCCCGATAGGGAGTCACTTTTCAGACCGTTCGCTGTTCCACAAGCGCTGCGCGGCGTTTGATGAAATGTACTCTGACTGTATTATGGAGGGCTGCATGGCAAGGGAGGATTCATGCACAACCCGCATGATTGTGCTTAGTCCGCATGCACGGCCAAAAAGCGATGACGATGGTGTAGACGCAGTCCAAGCACACGGGCGGCAAGCAGAACAAAAAGACTTGCATCGAGTGGAAGGACATCGAGAGAGGGACGCGCTGGTCAAGTGCCATGCTCCTGAGGCTCTACGGCAGCGGCGATGCATGCATGCAGCTGATGGGCAAAGGCAGCAGCAAGCAGCAAACGGGCACTACGACGGCCATCAGCACCGCGACCATGCAATTCATGTGATGATTATTTGTGATCAAGGCGGGTCACACAGGTGTCGGGATCAAAGCACTGCGCGAGTCACGCGTAGGTGTACCGGTACCGGTGCAGTCCGTCGAGACTCATGACTCCAAGCCAGATCGATCTGCCCTAGCCTCGTTTCGGATTTGCGTGCGCGGGAGGGCAATTCACGAATTCACGAACACATGATCCCATCCGCGTCGCTTTGCTGGCTACGGGACATCGTGTTCGGCCAGTGCCTATCGTGCACTCGACTTGGTCGATGGAGACCGACACTCGCCTGACATCGTCAACTCCTCATCCACTCTGACTTTCATTCTCCTCGACGCGCGGGAATCTCCGCTCGGCTCCTTTTCCTGTCGACTTGAAGGCCGCTTCAGTCAGACTGATCGGCTTCGCACATCTTTCACGCCCGAAGATCCGAACAAAACGATTAATTGCGCTGCCGCTGACTGCACCGACGGGCGGCCACGTCTTGCATCAGGGGCATTTGCGCCAAGCAGCTCCATCACACAGCTTTCCGCCACCCCTCCCAAACTCTCGCGGCTGATCATCTAGGCAGGCACCTTCCTCATTTCGTCACGAAATGAGCAGCGCGAGCACTCTGCGCGCCCAGGGGCAGGGGCCAGTCGGAGAATCTGCTGGCACAGGTACCCCGCCCAGCAAGGCTGCGAGGAAGAGCGTAAAGCATAGAGCATCGACCAGCTCATCTTCCCGCAGCAAGACACCGAATCGCTCAGGAGCCAAGTTGGGCGCACCGAGGTCTTCGCAATCCACGAGCAGCATCATCGATGTCAGCCCGCCTGGAAGCGGTGGTAGTGGGACGCCGGGAGCGAGGACGCCAAAATCTAAGCGGTCGTATGGATCCATCCAAGCCGCTGCTGACCTCTCCAAAGCGGACGGTGCTGGTGCTGATGTCCAACTTTCACCACAATCAACAATGGCCTCTCCAAACCCAGCATCTGCTCCAGAAGGTCTCATCGCATCGCCAGCGTCGACCTCTTCCAACATCAAGTCACCGGGTAGCGCGAAAGCTCGCAAGGTGCTGATGCCTCACATACCTGTTCGACGGGATTCGGCCGCTCAAGGTGCGGGCAGCACCGACAGCGACAGCATGACTCCTCCACGCACCAGCGCGTCTCCACCCCCAGCTACCACGCTGAATGGAAATTTCGGCGGTAAAACAAACATTCAAAGCATCGCGTCTGCCATTGCGTTGCGCGCACAGCAGGTCGCAGCCGAAAATGCCGCCAAAAAGGCCGCAGAAGCAGAAAAGGCTGCCAACCTTATCGCTGCTTCACGCACTTTGGCTGTCGGCTCTTCTCCCTCGCGATCCGCAAGCGCAATGAGCAATCGTAGCGACGGTCTTGCATCTTTGGGATTGGCCGCTTCATCCGCATCCGTCGAGGAGATTCCCACTCCTCGAGCTGCACATTTCCCGCTAACTTCTGGCATCGAGGGCTCGCGATCTCCCGCGTTGCCCAGTGGCGCACCCATCTCCCGCTCTGCCTTCCAGTCCCAGAATGTGCAACAGGGCAACGGTGTCACTGCTGACGGCCACGACAAGGCCAGAGATAGCATCGTGTCGGAGGATTCCTCGCGATGGAGCAGAAGCGAGCTGGCAGACTTTGGCAACGTCATCAATCACATGGACTTTGGTGCTGGTGTGGATGGATACGCCGCTACTCGCAACAAGGACGAGGAGGGGATCGATACAGCGGGCACCAGCGTGGATGGCTCGCCGCCAGTCAAAACCCAAATCATCACTGGAAACCCGCTCTTGGCAGCAGCACAGAATCACGC